GCTTGGAGGGGTCTTGGTCCGAGAGCGGCGCTGAGTCAGCATCGCAGGCGTGGGCGTCGGACCACCTGCGTGGGATGTGGTCCCGCGGGCAGGGGGGGGCAGGCGGCGTTTGTTTTCTGAGTGAGGGGCACGTGCCTGCGCTGAGCCAGAGGCAGCGGCGCGGGCGTGCATGCGCAGCGCTCTGGCTTAAGGCACAGGAAGGGATGGGCGAAGAACCGCCCCGCCGCGCACCTGCGGCCGCGCTGGTCCACGCTTTGGCCCGACAACTTGTCCAGCTGTGCGGCAGTGGCAGCCGCCGACGCCGCCGCCGTCATCGCCGCCGCCGCGGAGGTCAAGGCGCCGTGCTTTTGCGCCGCCGCCGCCTGCAGCGCTGCCGACCGCGCGCCGCCGCCGCACGCGGCTCTGGCCGGGGGCGGCGACGGCGGCTTCCTTGGCGCGACGGGCGCTCCGGTGTCGCTGATCCGATCTGATCCGAGGGAATCCAGATCGAAAGGCAGCAGGCCCGCGAGGTGATGCGCGTCCTGGCGATCTGAGATCGCGTCGTACTGATCGCGCCCGCCGCCGCCGCCGCCGCCGCCACCCTGCGCGGCCGCGGCCGCGTCCAGTAGCGACGCGCGCCGCCCGGCCTCCAGCAGCGCGCCGGCCGCGTCCCAGCCGCCGTCGGACGCGCCTGGCGCGGCCGGCGCCGCCGCCACGGCCGCGAAGCCGCTGCTCACCGCAGACCCGACGCCCCACCCGTCGCCGCCACCGCGCGGCAGCGCGAGCGACCGCACGCGCGCGGGGCCGGCCGCGGCGGGCTGCGGCGCCGCGCGCAGCGACCACACGTCGCCCTCGCGCGCAAAGTCGGGGAGGGCGGCGGGCCGCGCCAGGGCGGGCATGCTCGCCTGCCGCTCCATCAAGCCGCCGCCGCCGCCGCCGCCACCGCCGCCCAGGAACAATGCGTCTGGCGGCAGCCCGCCAAGCTGCAGCGCCCCCGACGCCGCGGCCGCCGCCGCCGCCGCCGCGACCGCAGCCGCATCAAAGGCCAGCGCCGCCCCGGACGAGCCGGCGCGCGCGAGCGCCGCGTGCTGCGCGCGCTGCGCCTGCGCCTGCGCGTGCGCCGCTAGCTGCTGGTGCAGCAGCGCGGTGCGCAGCTCTTCTGACCCCTCGGCTGCTGCGCGCAGCCGCTCCTCTAAAACCAGAATCCTCAGCTGCTGCGCCTTGATCTGCGCCGCCGCCGCCCGCTGCGCCGCGGCCGCGCGCTCCTGCGACCGCGCGAGCTCCGCGGCGGAGAGCGTGCAGAGCGCCTCGAGCTCGGCGGCGCGGCGGCGGTACGCGTCGAGCTGCGACGCTTCTGACGCCTTGGCGCGCAGCCGGGCCTCGAGCGCGGCCGCGCGGTCGTTGGCAGAGGTCAGCTGCGCCTGCAGCGCCGCCATGCGACAGTTGTCTGAGGGCGGTGGACGTCGCGGCGGTGAGGCGTGCTGCTGCTGCTGCTGCTGCTGCTGCTGCTGCTGCTGCTGCTGCTGCTGCTGCTGCTGCTGCTGCTGCTGCACCGCGGGGGTTGAGGCGATTGGGGATGAGAGTGCAGGGGGCGCCATCGAGGCGGGAGCACCCTGCAGGCTGTCCAAGGCGCCTGATTCCTGCTGCTGCTGCTGCTGCTGCTGCTGCTGCTGCTGCTGCTGCTGCTGCTGCTGCTGCCTGCGCTGGTCCTCAATAGGCTGCGGGGAAGGGGGCTGCCTCGGAGCGCCGCCGTCGCCGACGTTGGAGACCGCCGCAGCCCGGCCCTGCTGACCGCCCGCCGCTGTGCCATCGCCGCCGCCTGTATGCGCCGCGGCCCTGGGGGTTGCAAGCTGAAGCATCGCGTCGGAAAGCTGCGGCGAGATCGACAGGCGCCCGCGAAGCGTGTGGGACAGCAGCTGCTGGTCTGCCACTGGCAGGTCGCACGCCGCCACAGCGGCCATGCCGGCTGTCGCGCGCGGCTGCGTCAGCAGGCCTAGCATGGGTGCGCCAGCCTACGAGGTAACGCCACCGTTGAGAAATCAACTGTCGTTACTAAGCGCTGCCATCCATCAAAGGCCGCCTGCGAGCGCGGGCGGACCAGTAGCGGGCATCGCGACGTGGGTGGGAGGGCGACGCGCTGCGCTTCTGCCTCGAATCCAGCTTGACAGGGCCGTGCCCTGCCCAGCACGCGGAATCGATCGCCATTACATGCATGAACGCTGCCGCTGGTCGGGGGAAGCACGGAACCGGACAGCGCACCCATGGGTATTGGAGCTGCACGCACTGCTGAGCACAAAATGTTGTAGTGCGTGGTGCAACATGTGTAGCCTGTCTTGTAACTGTCAGAGTGCCGAACGCCAAGCTCTGTTGAAGTGCCTCTCGAGGGCTGGATCGCTGTGTACCGTACAGCACGTGCAAGTGTATAAAGCTAGGAATATATGAGGTGTACACGCACCGTTACTATTGAACCTACAGGCTAGCCTGACCGTCAAAAGGGCGGCCAGGAGGGGTCGTCCGGTCAGCACCACGGCCGTGCTAGCCGCCCAAAGGCGGCTCATGTCGGTGGCAATATGGATTCAGCATCAATTTCTGTTCTGATTGATGCGCACACTTGGTGCGTTTGCAGCGGCGGGCCGCGAACAGCCGCCGAAGGGTGGAGGGTCCATCCACCCAGTCCCACACGATGCATCGCACCAGTCTCCCTCGGAACCCGGGCCACATCACTATTAAGCAGATGTGAACCACACGGGCCCCTGACGACCAGCCACAACCTGAGATTTCAATCAGTTCAACATGTGTAATTGGCATTTCCAGCTTGTCACGGCTGTGCCAGACGGCCAGGACGGCCTCGCTCCGCCAAGCTCCAGGGGCCAGCATGCTGAGTACTATCAAGGTTCTGCGTACGTTGATCATCCGGCAGGTGCCAGCGCAGGGCGCATTGCAAGTAGACTCTGCACGGACACGGAGGCGGCGTTGATAGGGCGGCAGGCAACCCCATGATTTCTTCCCATCGCCAGAGAGCGCGATCCCTGACATCCCGGCACAGAATCGGGCATGCTGCAGTATGAAAGCAGGACTCTGACACGCTGTGGCCCCTTGCGCCAATAGGCTGAAGGGAGATAACAAGTCCCCTCGCAGCCGCTAAAGCCGAGCCAAGCCGAGCCGAGCCGAGGCGCTGGCGTATGGCATGCCCAGAGTTCAGGGCAGGTGGTGGCAACACCCTTTCGGTGCCCTGGCCCTGGAAACAACAAAAACAGCAGATCTACGCCCCCCCCCTCCGGGTCATGTTGGGGGGTGAGTGGATGTGGGTGGTGGGGGGGGGGGAACCCAAGTAACAGGGCTGGAACTGCTGGTTGAGAAAGGGTGGGCAAAGGGCACACGGCGAAACGCAGTCCTGCGAAGTACTTACAAGGATGGTCGTCCACAAGAATTGACGAGGCAGGCAGGCAGGTTCCAGCACCGACAAAGCCAGGTTTTGAATTCTAAGACCATTTGCAAGTGGCGAGACACTTTTGTTTGCTGAGTACAGGCCGCTTGGGATGCAGGCCGCCCTTCTGAGGTTGAGAACCCGTGCGGAACGTCGGCTAGGTAGGTGCATCTGCGGTAACCTGCTGCCGCACGCGCACCTGGCCTGTGCCCGTGGTGATGTCAAGATCAAAGCTGCCCTGAAATTTCAATCCTTGGTTGCGCGAACGTCGCATCTGGAACGAAGCATTTGAAGGACTCTACAGTAGCAGCGTGTAGCAGGGAAATGCAGAGCGACGCATCTGGCCTTCCTTGGAACAACATGACCTTGAAGGCATCTGGGCAGAGGCGCTCGCTTGTTGGCAGAGCTGCAAAGCACGGCATTCTCCTTCGTGAATTCTCAATTTGAAGGTGTTGTTTGAATCGAGGTTGGTGTGAGGGTGTGGCTTTTGTGTGGGATGAGCGCAGGGTCGCCCTGGGTCAATGAGTCAACGCGCGAAAGCGGACACGTGCGTGGCGGCGTGCGCATGGTTCACGGCTGAGGACGGGGCTGACAATATGATTGTGTATTGTATGATCAAATGTATGCATAAGGCAAGCCGCCTCTCCAAGGCAGGTTTGCAGCAGCGCCGTGCCGGGTTAGGGTGGTGCCTCATCAATCCACTGCTGGGCAGCAGCGCGACTTCCGGCCATGACAGCCCGGCCAGCGGGCATCTACACACCCACCTCATAGTCCAGCGTCGCTTGGACGATCATACAGGATGGACTAAATCTACGTGCGTTTTAAAACACGGAATTCCTCATTCTAGAACGCGTTCCCGGTTACACCTGTTGACCCCGTTGCCTCTCATGGTCTGGTGAACTCAGTCCCGAGTGGTTTGTTTGACACGTTACCATATTACACCGTATGCCTGGCCCCTCTCTGCCCCCTGCTTCCGTCTCTGGCATAGCTTCGTACTAGCGCGCCGGTGGGAGCACGCACGGCGAGGCCACCGGCCGCCCGGTCGCCGTCTTCCACGCCTTTGAGCGTGATAAACCTATCCTCCTGCGCGGTGGCATCCTCGCTGCTTCAGCAGTGGTGCCGTTGGCACCGTGCAGCGCGGCGCGCGCACCAGCGAATCGCGCAAGCCCTCTCACGCGCTGCGCGGCGACACCGGCGTCGCATTCCATTTGGCCAGACGCGGCAGCGCCACGGGCGTCGCATGGCGGGCCAGTCGGTGGCTGGCGCCGCGCCAGCGCCGGCGTTCAGCGGCCAGTGCCCCAGCTACTCGGCAGCGACGGTGCCGGTGAGTGGCAGTGTGAGGCGCGCGCGCGGCAGCGACGTGCGGCCCAGGCGGCCTGCAATCGGGGGATCGCTCGCAGACAACGCGCGAGTCTCCATGCGCCATTTTCCGAACAACAGCGATCAACACGCTGATTCGCCTCCTCGTAGCAGAGCCCGGGCCCCTAGCAGCGGCAGCGGCCGCGACCCGCGTGCGCACTCGCGTCCCCTGACGCGCCGCGCGCCCGTCATCTTCCCCCCCCCCCGTTATGCCAGGGCATTCCGGTGTCAACGCACATACCGCCGGTGCCGCAGCACTGGAGGCGCGAGCCGCCGCCGAGCCCCCACCTGCCGCGGCCCGGGATTTGCGCTCAGTTCATCCCTGTTTACCTGCAGCAGCCCCCATCGGCCTTTACATACAATCCATACGGCTCGCCCCTCGTCTACCGAGCAGCATACTATTTGCCGCCGCAGCCGCAGAGCATGAACCCCCATGACGGCGCGGCCGCGGGCGGCGGCAGCGGCCGCGGCGGCGGCGGCGGCGCAGCGGCGGGCGCAGGGGCCTGCGTGTGCTGCGTGGGCGCCGGGGCTTGCCTGGCAGCGGCTTGCGCGGACGATGGCTGGGATCTGTGGTGCTCGTGACCCCCTTGCACGTGCCTTTGCTATGCATCATGCCTGTTGCATGAGGGCAGGATGGTGCGTGAGGGCTTGGCCTGGCGCATCTCGCGCGGCGCAGACCCTGAGCCGTCCCCCTCGCCATTTCGGCAGGGCCGCCGCGCCTGCGCCGCGCCGGCTTATGTTCCCGGCAAGCGGCCGCAGTTGCCGCGGGGCCTCGCGGCACGCCTGTCCGCCTGCCGCCCGCTTGCGCTCGGCACGCCATCTGCGGTTGGGCCGCCAGCGGTTTCATTGGCCCTTATGACGCGCGCGCGGCAGCTCTCGCGCCGCATCAGCAGAAACAGGCCAAGCTGTATTGACTTCCGTCGCACGCGCACGCACACGCACCCCTGCCATGTGTTGTGACCGGTCCCTGTCGGCTCGTGCATCCGCTCAAGACCAGCACACTTTTGCTGCATATTGCTGCTTGCTCAAGTTCTTCTAATTACAGGATAGCAGGCCTCTCTCGTATTACTACCGTTTCTGAGTTCATCCCTCAGCGCGAGACAAACATGTTCGGCGGCGGCGCTCAAACCCGGGTGTTGCAAATTGGTTTAGGCAGGAGTTGAAGAACTGACAGCTATGACTAAGGGGGCTGCCGGGCCAGCCGAATGGCGCGCGCCCGCCCAACTGGGCGCGACATCAGAACCCGCCCGCGGGCACGACGTTGATATTGGTCCTGTTGTGTTGTCCCTTTTTGCAACTTATATTGTAAATGTAATGGCGCGGCGAGGCTGCTTCGCGTGTGCACAGGCCAGCAGGCCAGCCGGCTGCGTGGTGGCCTGGCCAGCACCAGCAGGGGCTGGTGCGTGTTGCTTGCAGCAGGGTGCGATTCCACTGATTCAGGGCTCAAATGTGGACGCGAGCGCTTAAGGGACGGCGCTGGCCTAGCAGGCTGGGCCGGGGCCGAGGCGGCAGGGGACGCTGACGAGGCGCACCCCGCGCTTCGGATGACACCTGGCTGCTCGGTGAAGTTGCCCCGACCGCGCCCCCCCTCCTCCCCTGCTTCCAGCATAGCTCTGCACTTACAAGAGCCCCGGCAGCCACATTGCAGCGCGCTTGTAAGTACGCCTGTTGGTGGGCATGAAAAGTGCACGCACGCCGGAAGCCCTGGTGACAGCGACTGGGTCGGGAAACGGTTGCAGTGGACAAACACCTCGCGCGGAGGTGGGAGTGCCGTTGTTGGCACGGATGGATGGGCATGTGCGAGTGTGTGGCAGCACGCAGGGAACCGGGGAGGTGAGAGCGACCTGGACAAACGATGCGCCAACGATTTCGTGGGCTTTGGCAAACACAGGGTGGCGCGCCGCCAGGGTTCAGGTTCAGTTCGAACAAAGGGTTCAGGGCTTTGAGACACCCTCTCAACCCCAAGCCCCCAACCAATGTTGCGGAAGTCAAACGGGCAGGAAGTGGAATCTCGGGCGGGGCCGACGACAGCGAAGCCAGTGGAAGCAGGGTGCGCCACTGAGGGCTGCGTGGGCCAACCCCCGCCTGCAGACTCAGCCGTGACAAAGTACATGACCAAAACCACTCAGCAGTGAGCACTCGAGAGCACACTCGATGGATGATACAACGCCGCGGGTTCGGCAGCGACCGCCTGCGGCGACCCGCTGCCCCCGACATCAAACGCGGGGGCAACCCGGCCTGCCGACCCACCAGACCCCGAAAGCACACCTCCCCACTTGCTGGCAGCCTCCCCACCTTGAGGTTCCCCGCGCGGGCCCCCCTCGTCCTCACTTCCCGCGCGGCCGACAGATACCGACCCTATAGCTCGATTCCACGGTTGCCCCCGCCCTCTCGTCACCTCGTCACATCAAAACGGCCCCCGGCCCGCCCCGCCGCAGCGGCGCGACCCCGCCGCGGCCCCAGCCGCCGCCGCCGCCGCCGTGCGCCTTTGCTGCCGTGCGCTCAGAGGCAGCTGCCAGGTACTCATCGATGGGGGGCAGTGAGTCATCCGGCGCCTGCCCCCTGATGATCTTGGAAGCCCAGCGGCGCTCCGCCTGCGTCAGATGATGTGCGAGGCGTGGCGGCGTCGATCCAGCGCGGCGGTGCGCGGGTACGCGGCGCGCGCGGCGTGCAGCCGCGTGGCAGGGCGGGGCGGGGTGTTTGCAAGTCAGCCGGGGCGGGGCGCTCTTGGAAGCCTCCTTATGCGGCAGCCTGCAGGCGCAATAATCAAACCTGGCAGATTCAGCTTTCGCTGCCTTCAACCCTCACGCGTGTGCGTCAGCACGCTGCCCGACGCTCAGTGGGCGAAAGCCCGCCCGCGCCGCCGGGCCGCGCACCTGCTCGCAGATGTCTCTCAAATCACGCCCTGAAAAGCCGTCCGTCCCCGCCGCCAGCCGGCCGATGTCGCCCTCTGGCAGCTGCTTTGCATACTGTTTGAGTATCTGGGCGCGGCACGGCTCGTCGGGCAGGCCGAACACGAGGGAGAAGGAGAACCTGTTGGGAAGCCGGCCGGGGTTCAAACGGCGGGGGGCGACAGGTAGGGGTGCGGAGTGTTGGTGCACGGGCGTGAAGGCGCCCACGGGTTCACGCGGCAGAGGGCGAGCCCAGGGGGCAGGAGGGCGTGTAGGTGCACGCGGCGCTGGACAAGGCATGCAGGGCGCAGCAGCGGCGGGCGCGTCTAGAGCGTGAAGCTGGATCACTGGCGGCCTCTCAGGCAGCGTTGAGGCGCCCCAACATCGTGCACAAACACCTACATCGGGAGCCACCGCGTGCGCACGCGCACGCGCGTGTACGAAATCGCACCAACCAACTCAATCCTTGCACACGCACCAAACTCAGCACACCCATGCAACCACCCCCATGTGCACATGAAGGCACCAGTGCAGCACACCTACACCCACACCCATAAAACCCACTCATCCCCACCCTCATCTCCAGTCACACACTCACACACACACACACGCACACGCACACGCACACCCACACGGGCTAGGTTCCATATGCGTGGGTCTGGGCCCACGCGTGCGGAGCGCGCATGGGCTTGAAAAGGAAAGGAAAGGGGGAGAAAAAATGATTGCTGGCGCCGAAGGCGCCCGCAGGGCGTTCAGGGCGTACTGCTGGGCACCGAAGGTGCCCAGCGGTTGTGCTAGAGTTGCGACCATGCAAGTAGGTACCTGGTTGGCACCTGCCTGCTTTTTCAGTTGTTTTTGTGCAAATAGTATGGGTTGCTTGGCATCAGCCTAA